AAAGAGTGAATGGAGGCAGCTCCAAGGAGTATGACCCCTGCCAACAGAGATGAAAGCCAGCTATGAAAGAAAAGAATTAGCCTTGGCATTCAGTAGTTGAACTACAGAAAGGAATAGGCCCAGGGAGCTCAGTTGAATTATATTCTGGCCTAATAGAAAACAGCATGAGGATACCATGAAAAAAGAAAGGACACTGGAGCCCTAAGCACTAGAGGAATGAGTTGCCTTGGTTATGCATTCCCTATATGTGTCTCTCACATGTGTATTTTAGATATATTCCTATTCTTCCCTCTGACAATATGCATAGTTACAGTAAAATATACCCCACTTTTATAAGGGAGTGTTGTATCACTACTGTTCTTATGATGCCATTTTAGTAAATGTCTTTGCTTTGAGCTAGTGGTATCTACTGGGCAACTATTAAAAGTAAGTGCACTGGTAGGGGCTTATGAGCCACAGAATACTTCAAACTTTGGACCTCAGATTAACCAAATTACAAGCTAACCCTGTGCTAGCCTTTGAGAATATAAGTACAAAGAATGAAATAATCCCTCCTTGCAAGGATTTTACATTTTAATGAGGGAGATACAAAGTACATATAAAAAAATTATGTAGTATAGACATAAAGTTAGCAAATATAAATGTATACCAAATACTTGAATACAAGGTAATTTGGAAAGGAGTAACCATCAGGTGTGGGGGGGGAGAGATCAGGAAAGGTTTCATGAAGAAGGAAGAGAGAGACCCTTTGAGGTGAAAAGAAAGAGGTTGTACATTCCAAACATATAGGGTAGCCCATGCAAAAACATGGAGACCTGGGAGATTCCACATCATCTATAAGGCTCCATCATGGAGTATAGGGGAGTGATATTGGAAAGGTAGGTTGGAACCAGGTTGTGAAGGGTTTTGAAAAATAAACAAAGGAGTTCATATTTTGTCCTAGAGTTAATAGGAAGCCACTGAAATTGACCAAGTAGAGAAGCCACATAGGGTGTATTTAAAGAAATTATTTTGGCAGTATTGTGTGAGATGGAATAAAATGGGGAAGAGACTTGAGGCAGGGAGATCAACCAGAGGGTGTTGCAGTAAACCAAGTAAGAGACTGAACTAAGGTGGTTCTGTTGTGTGAGCAGAGAGAAGGGTTCAGATGTGAGAAATGTTGTGAAAGTAGTGAGAAATGTGAAAGTAAAAAGCCAAACTGGGCAACTGATTGGATGCATGCAATGAGGGAGAGTGAAGAGTCCAGGATAACACCAGGATTATGAAGCTGGGAGACAGGAAGAATGGTGGCGCTTTCCACAGAAATAGGAGAGGGAGAAGTGTAGGGGGGAAAGATAATGGTTTGATTTTTGACAAGTTGGGTTTAAGATGCTTCTCAGACATCCAATTTGAAATGTCTAACAGGCAATTGGTGTTGCCTGACATGCTCAGGGGAAAGACTGGGGCTATACATATAGACCTGGGAGTCATCTGCATAGAGACAATAACTACACCATCGGTAGCTGATAGATTACCCAGAGTGTGTAGAAGTAGAAAAGATGGCTTAGCACAGAACCTTGGGAATACCCACAGTTAGAAAGCAAGATATAAGTAATAAGAAAATAAAGGAAACTGAGGTAAGAAGCAAACCAGGAGAAAGTAGCATCACAAAAGCCCAGAGTGAAGAGAAAGTATCCAAGACAAGAGGGTGGTCAACAATGTCAAATGCACTTTGAGGCAGAGAATTTGGACTAAGAAGAAACCATAAGATTTGGCTCTCTGGAAGGGGTAAAAGGAGGGAAATATAAATGAGCTAAAACCAAAGTAATACAATTATGTTTAATTTTTTTAATTAAATTTAATTTAATTTAAAAATTCTTTAAATCATTGGTGATGTGCAGTTTTAGTTGAGTAGTAAGGTTGGACATGCTTTGCAAAGAGCTGAGAGGAGTAAGAGGAGACAAGGTGGAGGTGGATAGCTTTTTCTAGGAGTTTGGGTGAAAAAAGGAAAAGAAATAGCTGGAGGGGAAGGCAGAGTCTAATGTTTTTTGCTTTGTTTTGTTTTTAAATAGGGAAGACTTGGAAATATTCATAGGAAGTAGGAGAGGAACTAGTTGGTCAGATGCTGAAGATATGAGATCTGCTGAGGACTAAGGGACACAAGAAGAAGAGCCACCTCTTACTGAGAGACTGGATGAAAAATGAAAGTAGGAGGTGATGTCAAGGGATTGTAGGGAACGTCTAATTCAACCCCCTAATTTTACAGATTAGAAAATTGAGACAAAGGTCAGGTAAGTGATTTATCCAAGGTCATCCAGACTGTTGGAGGAAGAATTTTAATCCAAGTCCCCTGTTCCAGAGACAGTGCTCTTTTTTTTTTTCTCTTTCATACTACCTCTATTGCCTTCCTTTTATGTAATGGGCATCTCTGCTTGTTGTAATCCATTTCTCCATTCAGAAAAATGACTCAGATGCCACCTCCCTCAGGAAGCCTTCTTTGATCTTCCCAGCTTGAAGTAAAGTCTCCATCTTCAAATTTTCCTATAGACTTTGTCTAGAGCTCTTTTTTATCCCGTGATCACATTCTACCTTATATCATACTTACATCTTATTTCCCTCTTACTCTGTGTTATTTGTCTTTATATTTTCCTTTAGATATGGCTTATTTCCCTTTAAGATTAGTTGTAAACTCTCTGGGAAATAAGATATACAGGCAATGGGGTATAGAAATCTATCCTACCCTATAGGGAAATAGAAAGGGGAGGAGATAAGAGGAGGGGTGATAGAAGGGAGGGCAGATTGGGGGGAAGGGGTATTCAGAATGCACACCATCTTGGGGTGAGAGGAGGGGAGAGATGGGGAGAAAAATTGGAACTCAAAATCTTGTGGAAGTGAATGGCGAAAATGAAAAATTAATTAATTTTTTTTAAAAAGATCGATGATAAACTCTCTGAGATCAAGGAACAATGTGCTTTTCCATCTTTGTAACTTTGAGGCCTAACACAGCCACCTGGGATTTGCTTAATCAGTGAAATCAATAAGTATTTATTAAGTATCTATTATGTGACACTGTGATAAGTTCTAAATTAATTTATGTAGCACATTAAGATTTCCAAAGTACTTTACAAATATTATTTCATTAGATCCTCACAATAGCCCTGGTAGAAGTAGGAACTATTATTATCCTTTTTTTCCCTTTTTTACAAATGAAGAAACTGAGGCAGACAGATTAAGTAACGTTCCCAGATCACACTGTTGGTAAATGTATGAGGCTGGATTTGAACTCAGTATCCTACACTTTCCCTTCCCAGAGAGCCATCTCCTATAATAAACCGTATTTTTTTTAATTTAAAAGAATAAAAAGGAAGAAAAAAATCAGCATAACTAATCACTCCATCAAAAAAGTCTTAAACTATGTGCAATGTACAACACTTGGGGACTCTCCCTTCTGCAGAGGGTTGGGAAGGGGGTGTCTTCTCATATCTCTTCTTTCAATCAATGCATCTTCTTTACAATTGTTCAACATTCACTTTTGATTTGTGCGCACAGTTCTTTGTTTACATCGTTGTGGTCATCATATAAATTGCCTCCTTGGCTTTGCTTACTTCACTCTGCATCAGTTCAGGTAGATCTTTCCATGCTTCTCTGTATTCCTCACATTCATCATGTCTCAGAGCCTACTAAACATTCCATTATATTCATGTTTAACCATTCCCCAACCTATAGGTGACTACTTTGCTTCCAGTTCTTTGCTATCACAAAAAGTGCTGCTGTAAATATTCTGTCGCATACAGAGCCCTTCTTCTCCTAGCCTCCTTGGTGTGAATGTAAGTCCAGTAATAGAATCTTTGGATCAAAGGTTATGAACATTCTAACATAACTCCAAATGGCTTTTCAAAATGGTTGTACTAATGCACAGCTCCACCAACAATGTATCAGCGCATCTCTCTTCCATCAACCCCTCCAACACTCAATATTCCCACAGTCATCTTTAGGTTATTTTTGCCAATTTGCAGAGCATGACGGGAAACCTCAGGGTCGTTTTTATTTGCATTTCTCTTATTTTTAGTGGTTTAGGGCATTCTTTCTTATGCTTGTTAATCCTCTAATTCTTCTTTTGAGAATCGTCTACACCCTCAGACCAATTATCTACTGGGGAATGGTCTGGGGTGGATTTTCATCTCATTGTTGGAAACGCTCCGGCCCACACCCTCACGAGGATCACCCCCTCCTAAGCCCCTACCCAAGGGGGAGGTGATAGAAGAGGGGAGGGTGGTCACTCGCGCACGCGCAGTTCTCGAAAAAAAGCCGCAGGGCGGGTCGTTAACGCAAGAAGCCATTTTTCGTTTCCGTGAATGTGCGGGCGGTTGGCGGCTGGCGAAGGAGGGAGAGTTCGCAGCAAGGGAGAGCCAGGGGGGAATGGTGGCTGAGTCCCGGTCGCGCGACCGGAAGCTTAGAGGAAGCCGGAAACTGCTGGGGGGGCGGACCTCCCAGCCTAGCGGCCCGGGCGATCTCTCCAGGCTCCCGCCGTCCCCCGAGGCAGGAGGCAGCCCCGGGGGCGCGGGGTGAAGCAGGGCTCTGTATGTAAGTGAGACCGCTGGGGGCGGGGCCTGCGCTGTGCCGGGGGTGGGGGATGGGGCAGGAGGGGGCCGTAACGGGCAGTAAGGAGGGAGGCTGGGAGGGGTGTGGCTGTGTGGGGGGAAGAGACCGCTCCCCCCACCGTGCCCCCCCCCCCGCGCTCCACGACCTCGTTCTGACCCGGCTCAGCCCGCCCCTCCCCCTCTCCTTTCCCTTCCAACGGCTGCCCTTCCCCCTGCTGTCAGCCTCGCCTCCCCTCCCCCATCTTCTAACACCTTCGCTTCCCTTCCCCCCTCTCTCTCTTGCCTATTCCCTCGCCCCCCGACCTCCCCTCCCCGCCCTTCTGACAGCCTTCCCCGGTACCCTTGCCCCTCCCCCTTTTTTCCTCCCCGCTGTCATTTGCTTCATCCGAAGGGGCTCTTGCTCCACCGCCCCTTTGTCCCCCTCTGCAGTGGAGAGCACAAGTTCCCTTTGGAGACTCCAGAGCCAGGACAAAGCAGATCCATGGGTGATTGTGATGAAGTCTGTGTTTTATTGTGTTCTCAGCATTCTCTGGGGTTTTGTCCCTTGGTTTCCTTTGGAAGTTGTTTAAATTCATTTCCCGTGATTATTATTAAAATGGCAGTTCTGACCCATATGTGGTTAATGTGGGTTTGTGTATGTTATCCAGACAATGTATCTGACCTCAGCAGGGAATAGAATACTGTTTATTTACAAGATAAAACTTCACTTGCAAATATCTTGTTATAACGTCCAAATATGTTGTGGTATTTAAGAAGTGGTGCATGTTGTCAGATTTGTTTTGTTCTTGCCAGGAAATGAAAAAGGAGAATGGGTTATTTTTTCCAAATTATTGTTTCAATGTGAAATGAGACCCTGGTAACTCAGAGATATATGTATATTTTGTAAGCACCATTAGTCTGTAGTCACCTCTTACAGACCCAAAGCCATCAGTCAGTAAACATTGATTAAGGGCCTACTATGTACCAGGCCCTGTGCTAAGTGCTTGGGTTACAAAAAAAGATAAAGGATAGTCCCTGCTGTCAAGGAGCTCCTAGTCCGTATGGGGGAGACAATATGTAAGCAGCTATATACAGGATAAATTGGAAATAATCAACAGAAGGAAGGCACTAGAATTAAGAGAGGTTGGTAACGGTTTCCTGATGAAGGTAGGATTTTAGTTGGCCATGTGAAGGAAGCCAGGGAGGTAGAGATGAGGAGGGAGGGCATTCTGGGCATGAGGGATAGCCAGTGAAAATGTCTGCAGTCAGGCAATGGAGTGTCTTGTTGGGGAAACAGCAAGGAGGCACGTCATTGGATCCCCAAAACCGTAGTGGGTGGTGTAAAGTGTAGGGAGACTGGAAAGGTGGGGGGGGGTAGTGCAGGTTATGAAGGCCTCCTTCACCAAACAGAGGTTTTTATATTTTATCCTAGATGTAATAGGGAGACAATGGAGTTTATTGAGCAGGAAGGTGACATCATCAGACCTGTGCTTTAGGAAGATCACATTGACAGTAGTGCGGAGTATTGATCAAAATGGAGAGACTTTGTAGCAAGCAGACCCACCAGCAGGCTATTGGAATAGTCCAGGCTTGTGATGGGAGGACCTGCACCAGATTGGTGGCTGTGTCAGAGAAGAGGAGGGAGCATATGTGAGAGATGTTGGGAAGGTAAAATCTACAGGCCTTCGCAACAGATTGAATATGGGGGGAAGGGCAGTTAGAAGGAGGAGTCGAGAGTGACACCTACATTGTGAACCTGAGTAATTGAGAAGATATGGTGCCCTCAACAGTAATAGGGATGTTTGGGAAATGGGGGGTGGGGATGAAGGGGGAAATGGATTTCGAAGGAAAGGATAATGAGTTGGGTTTTGGACACAGTGAGTTAAAGATCCATCCATTTCAAGCTATTTAGTTCAAAATGTGCAGTAGACGTATGGCAATGTAAGACTGGAACTCAGTAGAGAAGTTAGGGTCTAATAAGTAGATTTTATAATCGTCAGCATAGAGATGATAATTGACTTTATGGGAGCTGATGAGATCATCAAGTGAAATAATAGAGGGGAATAAGAGAAGGCCCAAGAAAATCTTGGGGGACACCCACAGTTAGCAAGTGACACACGGATGAAGATCCAGCAAAGGAGCCTGAGGAGGAAAAATTAATATTTCGTAGTTCCCAGGTTAAAATTGGAAGAATGTACTGTAGGCAATACTTACCTAAACAGAAAATCAATCACTTAAAATTAACTTGAGTATAGCCTTTGAGCATAAGGGCCCACCCCTTATGAGCAGCCATCATTCTGCAGAGAAAGGCCAGAGTGTACTGAATATATGAATTTGAATTTTCACAGTTAACTAATCTCCCTTCCTTAATCTGCAGAATTTGGGGATCCCTGGCTGCCATTTTAAGACTAAGAGGCACAGTTTCTATAACCCTGTAGACCCCCAGAATAGCATTTCTCTGATTATAAACAGCTTTGATATTCTATTACCCTTTAAGGGTAACATTGATTACTTAAAATTAGACTGGGAAAAGAATTAGAACAGGTATAATACTAGCCATTAGTTAGGTTGTGAATTCCTGGGGAGACTTTCCATTTTTTTCTTTCCGGCCTTAGTTTTATATGCTTCAGTTAGGGAGAGGGAGAGAGGCTGGGCCTTTGCTTTCCTTGGTATAGGGAACTCTTGGATGAGGAAGCTTTCCTTTGCAAGTCTGCACCTCTCTTTTCAATTATAGTCTTAGAGAGTTACCTAGATCACTGAGAAGTTAAGTGACTTGTCCAGGATCCCAAAGCCAGTATGTGTCAGAGGTGGAATGTGGACAAAGGTCTTCCGGGCCTTTAGGCCTATTTTATCCATGCTTCACCACACTACCTTACATTTACTGTGTTACTATAATTATTCCACAAGTTTTATTGGGGAGAGATCGAAAAGGAGGCCAGTGAACTTATGTGATTGGAAGTAGACAAAATGAATTAAAAACTACTAGGGACGTAAATAAAGTTAGATTAATTAAGGTGGCTTGGATATTCATAAAAAAGCTTAGCCAAATTACTGAAATTTTGGGCATGAGTCCTGTATTGTCAAGATGTAAGGCATATATGATCTGAAGTTAAAGGTATCCATGAGCATATATATCATAAGATTTAGAGCAGCAACAGAGCTTAGAGATAATCTGGGCCAGGGGTTTTTAACCTTTTTTGAGTCATGGCCACTTTGGGCAGTCTAGTGAAGCCAATAGGCCCCTCAGAATAATGTTTTTAAATACATAAAATAAAATACATGAGATCACAAAGAAAACCAATTAACTCTGAGGTACCACATCACACCTATCAGATTGACCAACATGACAAAACAGGAAAATGATAAATGTTGGAGAAGATGTGGGAAAATTGGAACACTAATGCATTGTTGGTGGAGTTGCAAAATGAGCCAACCATTTTGGAGAACAATTTGGAACTATGCCCAAAGGACTATAAAAATATGTATACCCTTTGACCCAGCAATAGCACTTCTAGGGCTATATCCTAGACAGATCATACAAATGGGAAAAGGACCCACATGTACAAAAATATTCATAGCAGCTCTTTTTGTGGTGGCAAAGAATTGGAAATTGAGAGGATTCCCATCAATTGGGGAATGGCTGAGCAAGTTGTGGTATATGAACGTAATGGAATACTATTGTGCTATAAGAAATGATGAACAGGCTGACTTCAGAAAAACCTGGAAAGACTTATATGGTCTGATGCTGAGTGAAGTGAGCAGAACCAAGAGGACTTTGTACACAATAACAGCCATGCCGTGCAATGACTAACATTGATAAACTGAACCCTTCTTAGCATTACTAGGATCTAAGACATCTACAGAGGCCTCGTGATGGAAAATGCTGTCTGCATCCAAAGAAAGAACTATGGAAGTAGAATCGCTATCACTTATTTTTGCCTTCTGTTGTTTTGTTTCCTCTTTCTGATGGTTCCTCCTGTTGGTTTTAATTTTTACGTACAACTTCACTAATGTGAAAATATGTTTAATAGGAATGTGTATGTATAGCCTGTTATCAGATGGTGTGCCATCTTGGGGAGGGAGGTAGGGAGGAAGGGGGAGAAAAATTTAAAACTCAAAAGCATATGGAAGTTAATAAAATTTAAAAAAACAAAGAAAACCAATTGTACTAAACACAATTTTCAAAATATTTAAAAAACAAGTTCCTGGACTTGTTAGACTTCCCAATCTAGACCAACCCCCTCATTTTACAGATCAGGTAACTGAGGTCTATTGGGGTTAAGTAACTTGTTTGAGGTCATATTCTTAATAAGGAAAGCTAAAATTTGAGCCTAGGCCCTCTGGCACCAAATCCAGTACTCTTTCTACGACATTATATTTTGTTGCCTAGGTAGGATTGCATTATTTTCATTTTTATTTCATGGAAAAATTACTGTGAAAGATTGTGTCATATTAAAGTCTTATCAGAATTATTTTCCTTTTGAGTGTGATATCACAGGATCATGTATTTCTAGGTACTTTGGAGGTCATCTATTCCAATCCCTTCATTTTATGCTGAGCAAACTGAGCTCGAGGGAGGTGGCTTTCTTAAGGTCTCCTACTTAGTCAGTAGCAGAGCTGGGATTTGAACCTAGATCCTCTAATTCTGAATTCCAGGCCTCTTTTATACCATACTTGCCTCTGGACACAGTGAATGTGATCTTGGTGGTAGGATGGTAAAGCCTTCATTAAGATTTTAGGTAATGATTTTTTTTTTTGATGAACTATGATTTCACTGGGATTTCTAGGAAAGGAGCTTCCTGTACCAGTATAGAGCCTATACCTGTTTTGTAATTGCTAGTCTTGAGAGAGTTGCCTGGAGCACTGAAGGTGTGATGCTTGTTCAGCATCACAGTCTGTATGTGGCAGAGAACTTGAACTCAGGTCTTCCTGATTCTAAGGCTGGCTTTCTAACCAACCCCTAGTGAGGCTGCCTCTAATTAGTATTTTCAATAGAAGAATTATAATTAAAGATGCTATCCCAAGGTTATAAAAGATCTTAAATGGCAGAAGGAAAACTTATATTTGCTATATTCATAGAATAACAATAGCTCATATTTCTAAGGGGCTTTAATATTTACAAAGCACTTTTCCTCACCACTTCTCTATGAGAGAGGCAGAAAAAATATAATCCCCATTTTACAGAGGAATATAATGTTAAGTGACTTGTCCGGGGTGGTAACATCCCAGACTAGGGATGAAATCTTTCCCGACTTGCATTGAGAGTACCCTGTCTTCTGCATCGTAATACCTCTTTAGCTCACACAAGGATTGAAATGGACCTTAGACTATCTAAAATAACTGTTTCCTAAGCCAAGAATCTTCTTTATTGGAGTACAGAGCCTCTGTGAAGTAGAGTCCACTTGAACACCTCCAACAATAGGGAACTCACTGTCTTAAAAAGGCCATTATGGCTCCATTTCTAATCAGTGTGTTGTTAATCTTTATATTAAGCTGAAATCTGTCATCCTTTAACTTATG